AAATGTCTCAGTCTGCCCAGTAGATCTATGTGCAACGCTTTTCCAGGGTGGAAGGGCAGAGAAAAGGCTGTGTGACATTTATGATCATGAGGAGAGCAAGAAGGAGAAAACAAAATCCTTGCTGGAAGTGTGTGGTGGCAGCATCTTTGAGGAGAAGTTGCCAGACCGCTGTACATAGGTACAGAAACGATGAAGCCCTGGGTTGACTGAGCTGGAGCCCCGCCAGGTAGTCAGCAAGAGCTCCCGCCCTCCACGGTTTCCGGCTGTGCCTCTGCTGAGCCTCTTCTTGCCTCTACCTCACTAGAGGTCCACCTAGGACACTGCACCCTCATGGTGATTTGAGGTGGCGTGGTGAGTGGTGGGGCCGGGGTGAGACAGTGGCCTACAATTCCTTCATCCTGTTCTCGGCTGGAGCTCAGAGCCCGCACCCTATAAACATAACTGCATCATAAGTGACGATTAGGTGCACAGCACTATTGTGTGATCTCATGTACATTTTAGACAAAATGTTTAGGCCAGAGAGCCTAATTATTATGGGGGAAGTGTTTATAGCATGAATTAAAAGCTCTGTATAAGGTTGCCAAAAGTCTAATGTGACTTGTAAATAATTTCATATATTCTCTTTATTTTGTCATATACTTCCCCATAGTCACAGTGGGGATTTGATACATGTTTTTGTCAAAACTTTCAGTGCCCTTGGGAGAAAAACCTATTGTAAACCTGCTCAAATAGAACAGATCTTCTGAAATCACCATGTTACAGCAGCTAATCTCAAACAAGGAAGTGTAAAATTATACAGCAGTTAGGATCATGCTTGAATTTTGACATTGGACGGATCAAGATTCTGATGTGTATGGGTTCTCATCTTGAGAAATTACCTACTCTCTCAACCATCATCTTCTCATAAGTAGGACTAATAAATTACATAGTCTGTACTCTGTAGGATTTTTGGGACAACTAAAATACCTACATATATAAGGGCATACCTCACGTAGTTCTTCTGTAATTGTATCATGATAAACAGTTGACAAGCTAACTTCAGTCCACTGTGGAATGTTTCACTAAACTGCTTTGAGGATTTTACTAATAATTATTAGTTGATAAAATGAGCAGAGTGATTACACCTCAATTCTCATTAAAGAGCTAGGGGGAAAGGAGCATGTTTGCCGACTCTTCTGAAGTCAGTTGCTGGGAACCATTTTTTAATTGCTGATGTCATAGTTTGGATGAGACCTTGCTAGAACTTGAGGAGAGAAATGACAGAACTAATGCATAAACATTTAGAGATGAATTGAGCTAGCACTGTTTCAGTCTCATTTTGTTGCCAGTATTTTCTGTTTTTAGGAGAAGGGTCACTTCCTAACAACTGAAGACTTGGCAGTGGCATGGTGTCCATCGGTCACACCTTTCTAATAGCTACTGCGTTCTGTTCAACGGCGGAGAGATTTGCTGCAGAAATACGTGTTTGCTGATAGTGTTTCAGGGCAATATCATTGGTATTGGTCAGCTTGAAAAATGGGTCAGCTTGAAAACTGGTATTCTATAACAAATGGAAGTCATTATGATAGACATATGAAATCACTGAGTGAACATCATCTTGAGGTCATAACCTAAATTTAATGCAACAGTTTCTTCTGTAGGCTAGAAAAGTCTCTCTCCCTTTCTTTCCTTCCTCCTTCCCTTCTTCCCTCCCTCCCTCCCCCTCCCTTCTTTCCTCCCTCCCTTCCTTCCTCCCTCCCTTCCTTCCTTCCTTTGTTCCTTCCTTCCTTCCTTCCTTCCTTCCTTCCTTCCTTCCTTCCTTCCTTCCTTCCTTCCTTCCTTCCTTCCT